AATACTGAAGAGTGTCAAAACTGACTTGTATTGCATTTTCTCACTTGAACGTTTTTCACTTCATTCTTCTTTTCACCACTTAAATTCATCACCAAATCTCTATTTTTCACTTCAATTGGCCTCCTTTGGTGATTGATTCATCATTCCTGCATAAAAATGAAGTTTTTACTATTAAAATCAATAGAAATGCACTATTTTCCACTTTTACCAAAAATATATAATTTTACCAAAAATCTCTTTATTTTAATTATAAAACTAAATAATCAACTCAAAATTAACTAATAAAATGCACTTAAAAATACGTAAAATAAACTCTTATCAGTATGCCAAGGATTTTTTTTGCCAGATGAATGCTAAAGGTTCATTCTTTAACTCTTTCTTTGCAGTTTGCTTAAAATCTTGTGCGCTTAACCTTTCGTGCTTTATTGGGTTCTCATCTTCATCCTTTGCATTTACTAGTAACACTCACTATAGATACTCACTATGGTCCATGAGGCAGCTGTGGCGTTGCCATTTGGTGGGTGTCAGACCACCAAAAATAAAATTTATATTAGACCTACTACCAAAACTGAATGAGTATAGTGGTGAATAGGGTCGTCTCCTCAGGGAACAGGTAGGCAAATCACACAGGAAAATGGGGGGGAATTTTTAGCAGTAGTACCAACTAATTAAAAAGGGATAAAAACTGAAGTTTAAAGTTGAGTAAGATAGCAGGATCCAAACTACACAAATAACAATTAATTAAAACAACCTAGTCAAGGAATTAATCTTGGCACCCAAGCACACAACTGATCACAGATACAAGGAACAATTCATATACTCACGAATAAACTGGTTATAGTGGTCAAGCGACGCGCCTAACCACCAATCTTTCCTTAATTTTATGGTAGTCAAGAGACGCTCATAAACTACCCTCTTGTGACTAGACAACCCCAGAAACGCTCACAGGATTTAATGTAGTCACAGCATTAGCAATTAGAAAGACCCAATTCTAGATGACAAACACACATGCGGGTTTATTTAGGTTAGATTAATTATTCCCACGATCCAATTAGACCGCTTGCGAGGCGGTGAAATTGTCTCGTTTGCCACTAATCAAGATGCTTAAAGGCGACGCGCCAACATCCTAATTGGCTATCAATTATTTAGACAATCGAATAACAGGCCTAATTATCCAATAAATCTAAACAATAATAACTCAGGAAAAAAATAGAGAATAATTAAATACCCATGAACATATAAATTAGAAATAAACAATTAAAACGATCTCACAGTTATGGTGCCCCGGTCCTTGATTTATTCCTCAACTAGATAAAAGAACTAGCCTTGCCGCATAATCTTCAAGCAATTCAGAGTTTTCATGGAGTTTTTGTTGATTGAGGAAGTAGTAAAAGATGTCGGCTGCTATTTTCTACTTGCGTTCCAAAGAAAAAAGAAGAAAAAGAACAAAGAGACAAGTCCAAGACAGAAGATCCCCTAGTCTATTGCTGCCTTTTTATTTATAGTGTTGCTGCCGCTTCCCTTTGCTTGTTGAATTGGAATTTGTTTCCCACAAGGATTGTTTCCTTATTTCCCTCATTGGATTGTTGCCAAAAGTCCTCTTCGAATTCTATTTCCTCTGCTACTTAAAGGTCTTCGCAGCACTTGCTTTCCAATTCCAATTGGTTTTCAATTCTCCTGTGTTTCCCAAAAGGATTCCTTTTTCTTACTTTCTTATTTGTTTGTTGCCAAAAGACTTCTTGTTTTTAAGGTTTCCTGATCTCACGCATGATCTCACGCATGGTAAAAAGGTATCTTCCAATCAGAATGGTTGTTCCAGGGATTGGGCCCGCGATCCGGTTTTTTCACGCAGCTCTGTGTTGTCTGGCGTGGGCACGCCTTAGAAGCAAGAGTCTTCTGGATTTTGCCTCCCTTTTGTCACTTTCAACACTAATTGCCTGTAATTAACACAAATACTAATTATGAGCAGAAATCCAATATTTTGCATACTAAACTGCCAAAATTAAGACCAAATAACCACCAATAAAATGCATAATTATATCCCTATCAAATTCCCCTTTTTCAGATTCACTTGATGAATCACTGGAAACAAACTCTTGCTCAGATTCTGAAGGTGACGTTGAATCTTGTTGCTTACGCAACTTTGCCTCCTTAGTCAACCTTCTTGCAGTCTTCTCGATCTCTGGATCAAATTCTAATTCTCCTGTACGAGAAGATCGAGGCATAAAATAAAAAAAAGAAAAAATAAATAAAAATAAAAAATAAAACCTGTGCAATAAGTCACTTAAAACACCAGTTCCCCGGCAACGGCGCCAAAATTTGGTGGGTGTCAAACCACCAAAAATAAAATTTATATTAGACCTACTACCAAAACTGAATGAGTATAATGGTGAATAGGGTCGTCTCCTCAGGGAACAGGTAGGCAAATCACACAGGAAAATGGGGGGGATTTTTAGCAGTAGTACCAACTAATTAAAAAGAGATAAAAACTGAAATTTAAAGTTGAGTAAGATAGCAGGATCCAAACTACACAAATAACAATTAATTAAAACAACCTAGTCAAGGAATTAATCTTGGCACCGAAGCACACAACTGATCACAGATACAAGGAACAATTCATATACTCACGAATAAACTGGTTATAGTGGTCAAGCGACGCGCCTAACCACCAATCTTTCCTTAATTTTATGGTAGTCAAGAGACGCTCATAAACTACCCTCTTGTGACTAGACAACCCCAGAAACGCTCACAGGATTTAATGTAGTCACAGCATTAGGAATTAGAAAGACCCAATTCTAGATGACAAACACACATGCGGGTTTATTTAGGCTAGATTAATTATTCCCACGATCCAAATTAGACCGCTTGCGAGGCGGTGAAATTGTCTCGTTTGCCACTAATCAAGATGCTTAAAGGCGACGCGCCAACATCCTAATTGGCTATCAATTATTTAGACAATCGAATAATGATAAGAGTTTATTTTACGTATTTTTAAGTGCATTTTATTAGTTAATTTTGAGTTGATTATTTAGTTTTATAAATAAAATAAAGAGGTTTTTGGTAAAATTATATATTTTTGGTAAAAGTGGATAATATTGCATTTCTATTGATTTTAATGGTAAAAACTTCATTTTTATGCAGGAATGATGATTCAATCACCAAAGGATGTCAAATGAGGTAAAAATAGAGATTTGGTGATGAATTCAAGTGGCAACAAGAAGAATGAAGTGAAAAACGTTCAAGTGAGGAAATGCAATACAAGTCAGTTTTGACACTCTTCAGTATTTTGATCATATCTGGAGCTACACTTATCGGATTGAGGTGATCTTTATACCATTTTAAAGCTAAGAAAGAGACCTACAATTCGTATGAAGACATCGAAATCCATTTCTGCCATCTTCATGGGCAAAACGTTGGAATACAGAAGCTGCATTCTGTGGTCGGAAGTTAAAACAGAGGTTTGAACAGGTGACAGTATTTCGATCATATCTCAGGCTACAAAACTCTGATTTGGATGATTCTTGAAGCATTGGAAAGCTAACTTAAAGGGCTACAACTTTTGTGTTTTGTACAAAAGCTAGTTCGGCCTTTATAATAGAGAAAATCGCAGATAAAGTAAGGCCAAAGTGAATACGCGAGTACACAAAACGTGACTTGTAACCGCGTTTTGTGTAGGCGCGTTTTATAGCCGAAATTCTGCAATTTGACTCAGCCAATTCTCTTGTGTTCATACCACTTTCCAGCTATAAGATGCAAGGGAATTCGGTGCACATGCTTCAGAAGACAAAAGGGCAAGAAAAGTGGCTTATTTTCAAGTCAAAAATATTGGTTTTTGACTATGCTAACAAAGTGGAGATTTGGGAATCAAAGGATAGAATTTGACTTGGAAAAATGGAGCATTTGAGAGTTTTTTATGCAGAGATATGGGGAGAGATCTGAGATCCATTCGTAGCTTAGTTTCTTACAGAAAAACATATTCTCTCTACCTAGGACTTGCAAGGGGCAATTGGGATTTCATCTTGTAATCATCTAAGTTCAAGACAAAGGAGATTGTTGGAAGGCTTCACCATATCTTGGCTAAGACTTTCTTTACTCTGTTTGTATTTGTAATTCATGATGATTTACATTAATGAAGTTATGAGTGTTTCATCATTCATGAGTAGCTAATTTTCTTTATCTAGGGAGTAGATGAAGCTTATGGCCAAATGATATGAAGTGATTGTTATTCATTCTTGTTATGTCTTGTATTAACTTATCTACTTGTGTATGTTGGATTACTTGTTGTTGCTTGATCACCAATAGCAGGTCTATAGTTATTTTTATTCATTGAGAAATGGTAAAAATAATGGAATGACACAAGTAGAACTTGAGTTGTATATTCATGAGAATAGAAATACGTTCAAGTGGATAAAATCTGCATTTCATGTGTGAATAAGAACAGATTTAGTATTTACCAAGAGATTAGGACAAACTAATATGTTTTAACCCATTATTATCATGAGAATGTGATTTTGGTATTTCTGGAAATGAATCCTTGGTTAAACAAGAGCAGTAACAAGTGTTGAATTAATTCATTTTAGATCTTTTGTATCATAAGTGGAATCTACATCCCTAGATCTTAATATTTAGTGAATTCTACTCCCCTTGAGATATTGCATTTATTTATTTAAGAATTTTTGTAGTTGAATTAAATTCTGAAGTTTCTGCTCAAATTAATTGTAAGTCTAAATAATAGAGTAAATTAGTATCTAATAATTGTTTTAAATTGCTCATCGTGGGATCGACCCGATACACATCTCGTACTACAATTGCGACCTGTATACTTGCAGTCCAACGGGTGTAAATTCGGAATTAAACTTGCACTTAAAGTAAAAACCCGTCAAATAACAGGCCTAATTATCCAATAAATCTAAACAATAATAACTCAGGGAAAAAATAGAGAATAATTAAATACCCATGAACATATAAATTAGAAATAAACAATTAAAACGATCTCACAGTTATGGTGCCCCGGTCCTTGATTTATTCCTCAACTAGATAAAAGAACTAGCCTTGCCGCATAATCTTCAAGCAATTCAGAGTTTTCATGGAGTTTTTGTTGATTGAGAAAGTAGTAAAAGATGTCGGCTGCTATTTTCTACTTGCGTTCCAAAGAAAAAAGAAGAAAAAGAACAAAGAGACAAGTCCAAGACAGAAGATCCCCTAGTCTATTGCTGCCTTTTTATTTATAGTGTTGCTGCCGCTTCCCTTTGCTTGTTGAATTGGAATTTGTTTCCCACAAGGATTGTTTCCTTATTTCCCTCATTGGATTGTTGCCAAAAGTCCTCTTCGAATTCTATTTCCTCTGCTACTGAAAGGTCTTTGCAGCACTTGCTTTCCAATTCCAATTGGTTTCCAATTCTCCTGTGTTTCCCAAAAGGATTCCTTTTTCTTACTTTCTTATTTGTTTGTTGCCAAAAGACTTCTTGTTTTTAAGGTTTCCTGATCTCACGCATGATCTCACGCATGGTAAAAAGGTATCTTCCAATCAGAATGGTTGTTCCAGGGATTGGGCCCGCGATCCGGCTTTTTCACGCAGCTCTGTGTTGTCTGGCGTGGGCACGCCTTAGAAGCAAGAGTCTTCTGGATTTTGCCTCCCTTTTGTCACTTTCAACACTAATTACCTGTAATTAACACAAATACTAATTATGAGCAGAAATCCAATACTTTGCATACTAAACTGCCAAAATTAAGACCAAATAACCACCAATAAAATGCATAATTATATCCCTATCACCATTCTAATGTTTGGTTGTAGATTATATTACAGAAAAGATCATTTTCATTATTAATTAGCGGAACATGCATTTAGGAGTTCATGTAATATATGACGGGTATTTTACATACGTGCAAGCTAAAAAATACCGAATTACACCCGTTCACTGCAAGTATACAGATCAACTAGTAGTTTAGGGTATATATCGGGTCGATCCCACAGGGAAGAGTGAACAATTACCGGTATTACTAAAGCTTCTCTATTATTTAGACTATCAACGAATTATAGCAAATTTAACCTACTGAAATTATACAAGAATAACAAATGAAAGCTCCTTAGGTTGTGGTATCCCTAACTACTCATGCAAGTGTTATATTTGGATCATTGAGTACTACATCTAGGCTAATTATGGTGTAATTTCCTTATGCATTTGAATCCTACTTTCGTAGTGAATCAATTATACTTATAACTAATCCATACCTATTCTCATGGTTATGAAATTAGCTTCAAGTTTATTTCTTCAGTGAAATTACATGAAATGAATCACTAAAAACCACATAAGTGCACCTCTACTTTCGTGAGTGTACTCCCTATGTTTAGCACTTCTTGAACTAATGTTAAATCTCAATTTTCATTGCAGAAATAACACCTTAGATAATCACAATTAATGGTACCAGATTAATCATGATTTAAAGAGATAAAGTGCTAAATAACTTGCTCAAATACTAGCAATCAAATAGCCAAATAATAAACACTAACAATCATAGGAAGTTCAACCAAACCCAAGGCATAAACTTTAGAAACAAATAATAAACATAAATTCCAGAACTTGCATATTAACTAAATTTGGAATCAAGTACAAAAGATAAAGAGTTGGGAAGGAATGTAACCCATGTCACTTGAGCTCATCACCTTGCCTTCTTCATCTCCATCTTAATCCTAGTCTAGCAATATACAAGAATGGATGAACTACACTAGCTAAACTATCCTACACAAAGGAAATGGAAGAACTACATTTCTGCACTTCCAGCTCTCTCCCGTATGACCATGTTTCTCTCTGGTTGTTCTCTATATAAAACTGATATCAGGCTCCTTTCCACCAGTCCAAATTTGCTGCTATGATTCTTCAAATCTCCTTTTGTTAAGATAGTCAAAAACCATTGTTTTTGACTTGAAAATAAGCCACCTTTATTGCCCTTTTGTCTTCTCAAGCATGTGCACCGAATTCTCTTGCAACTTATAGCTGGAAAGTAGTCTGAACACAAGAGAATTGACTGAGCAAATTGCAGAATTTCGGCCAGAAAACGCGCCTATACAAAACGCGGCTACAAGTCACGTTTTGTGTACTCGCGTATTCACTTTGGCCTTACTTTATCTGCGATTTTCTCTATCATAAAGGCCGAACTGGCTTTTGTGTAAAACACAAAAGTTGTACCCGTTTGCGTTAGCTTTCCAATGCTTCAAGAATCATCCAAATCGGAGCTTTGTATCCTGAGATATGACCAAAATACTAAAGACTGGTCAGAACTCTGTTTTCCACTTTGGACAGCTGAGTTGAATTTCGGTATTTCAACTTTTTGACTGATTAATCCGCTGAATTGGACTTTGATGTCTTCATACTAAATGTAGATATATCTCTTAGCTTCGAAATGGTATCAAGATCACCTTGATCCGATCTATGTAGCTCTAGATATAGTCAAAATACCAAAATGTGTCAGAGTTGTCAAACCTGACTTTTCTTGATTCAAATTGCATTTTTCCTTTTACACTTCATATTTTATTTTCACCACTTTAATCCATCTTCAATCATCCAAATATCTTCTCAATGCACTTCATTTGATGATTGAATCATTAAACCTACAAAATATGAAGTTTTTACCATAAAAATCCATAAAATGCAATGTTTAGCCACTTTAACATAAAATGTAGTTTTTTTACCAAAACCTTAGTTATTTTAGTTATAAAACTAAATAATCAAACCAAAATTAACTAATAAAACACACTAAAAAATACGTAAAATATATTCTTATCAATATACAAGACAGCAGAGTTCTTTACATCATACAGATCAAGAATTTGTTACAAGTACATGCAATGACTTTATTCGTATTTAAGTACAATGACTAACAAATTACACAACAAGCACAACTAGCTTACTTTAAATTCTTTAAGCCGACGTATACTGTAGGATGGAAAATATGGCCTGCACACTTGTTAGGAGAAGCAAGGCACATGCAGCCAGAAACGAAATGAAAGCCCACGGGTTATTAAAATATTTGCTCAGTAGGTGCGCCCTCCAAATATGCCAGCGCCTGCGAGTGTACTTGTCCACATCATCAAAAATTTTGGTGTAACAGAATCTCCCGCCAACATGAACATGGTTGCTTAGCTTGTTAAACATTATAGAGAGTGCTTCATCACTACCTAACTGATTCACGATGGTATCATGTCTGCGAAGCGCTTCAACATCGGATGGGGAATCTATGAGACAATCTATGAAGATTATGTAATCAGTTACGCACTTCCATGTCTCAGATGGATTAGACATATACTCTTCATATGCAATCAAGTTTCTGAAGACGGATTCTGTATGATCTTCCACAACTAAAGGAGGGATTTTAAATACACCATTTTCGAAAGTGATATGGAACAAGGATTTACCATCCTCTGCCTTCTCGAACTTGATTCCACTTTGTCGGAGCTCACCAGCTGATTTTACGAACACAGATGAGTCTGTAGGATTGGAATTCATGGTTGAGGAAAGTGTTTCAGAAAATAAGGCAGACAGAATTTTGTGCACGAGGCCAAGAAGATGAACCGCATTATAAAGTTCGAAGATTTCAGAATGAGAATTTAGACCTGGATTGGGCAAGTTCCCAACCAGACAGAGATGAATAGCTAGGTCAATAAGGTTCCCTTCTCCTCTTGGTGACTTGGTCATATCGAACAGTTTCTGCAGGACAAAAAAGGGCAACTGATTCTCAAATAATATTAGGTCATTCACAGTGGCTGTGCGTAGCCAAAGCATCTGAAAAAGGGGGTCATTCTGCCAGTGTGATCCTGGATGTCTACATTTCCTCAAGAACTCGATGACAAAGCAGCCATCAAGGCATAGCATTTCAACAAAATCATCATTACTAAGATTGATTTCTTCTGCGTAACACCTTCGAGCTTGATCTTGAAGATCAGCCAAAGCTATGATGTATTTCTCAGCACTCTCACCTCTACGACGAAGAATCTCTTTGAAGTACCTTAGCTTATGCTTCTCCATCTCTTTCAGTTTAGGCTTACCGTGGTGATAAGGTCCGATGGAAACCACTTCTGGTTCGTATGCCTCTTCATTTTCACTTCGTAGTTGACCATGGATTTTGAAGATCGATGGCTTCTCCGACGTATCCAATAGGTCAGAAAGCTTTTGATCAATGCGAATGGCAATTTGGTGAGATCTGTCTCTAGACATCTTTGTTGAGTACGTATAACAAAATGAAGAATTGCTGCAGGAGAAAACATCAAGAGGATCAGCCAACTGGGGAAGGTATGGGTTGGGAGAGGAAGTGTGAGTAAGAGGTCTTAGGTTCGAATCCTTCCATTTACACCATAAAAGAAGTTTTTTTTTTTTTTTTTTAAAAGGAAGGATCAGCTAATTTAACTGTCAAGGTTGATTCCTATTGGAGTGAATCTTAAGGTCCGAGCAAGATAACTGTCCCAAAAATCTTTTTTTTTAAAAAAAAAAAAATACCTTGTGAGTGACTAATGACATTTTGTTGTTTCTTGGGTACAGTTAACTTGCACCAGAACATGCCTTTTGATCAGACAGTAGATTAAAATTCTCTGAATGATAAAGTAAAGCCTAAAATTTGGCTCCAAACCATATTGAATGTAGAAGCAGTCAAAGATGAAGAAAAGCAAAATCTTATTCATACACCAAAGTTAATTTACAAGATATAGATGAAAGCTCTGAAGCGCAGTCGACGTCAGATGATCAACACTTAGCTAGACAAGAAGGTAATTGCGAGCATATATATGGAATCTATTAATGCTTAGAAATTTAGTTTGAGCCTGTGTAGTCCGTACTTTAACAATGTGGAAAATTTGGTCAAATTGTAGTTACCAAGAATGTTCCTGTTGCTAAGAATCATAATGAGGACACAAATGTTGGATTTTCTATCTCTTATGCAAACTTTTTTGGGTAGGTCTTGTGCAAACTAAAGACCAAGAAGAAAAGTTTATGAAATTCAGAAATTATCAGTAACTAACCGTTCTGTGTTTCTATACTTCCTGTTTAAAAGATGGATGAAACATGAATGATGAACAATTTTTTGTTTTCAGAAAGGACTCCCATGCGGGAAGCCCAAGTGTATGCCCAAGCATACACTGCTAGTTTTGTTGTTAGGAATCCTGAAGAATGAAGATAGAGCTCACCGAAGTTGGAGAAAAAGATGTAAGAATATACGTACTTGCATAAGTAATGTATCTATACCGAAGATGATTCCCGCGTAATGCCAACTTCATGAGTTGACTTTAACAAAGCAGAGGCTTAAACCTTTTTGTACATCATTAACTCGGAAAATTATATATAATCCTCATGCAAATTAATGGGATGAAATTAAAATTTCTCAAAAAATTTTACATAGAAAATTGAAAATTTCCTTTGGCTCAAAATTGGCTCTTAACCAAGTTTAATCTAGAAGCAGTCATAGATGAAGAAAATGAAAATCTTGTTCATACACCTAAGTTAAATTTGCAAGATATAGATGAAAGCTATGAAACATACTATACGGGATCCTCAGTGCCACTTTTTCAGTGATAATTCAGTGATACTTCTATATTTATGCCAAGTGTCCAGTTTATTTAATTTGTTATGTGCTATTTATTTAAATTTCTTCTACCATCACATGATAAGTGGGATTGACACTGAATTTGACATCAAATAGCGGCGTAGAGGATCCCAACTGGAAACATAGTCGATGTCAGACAATCAACACTTGACAAGAAGGTAATTGCGAGCATATATACGTGAAATCTGTTAATGCTTAGAAACATGATTTGAGCCTGTACAGTCCGTACCTTTATAATCTGGAAAATTTTGTCAAATTGCAGTTACCGAGAATGTATAGGATTACCCGGAAAACTGTTCCTGCTACTGAGAATCAAAATGAGGACATAAATGTTGAATTTTCTGTATTTTATTCAAACTAAAGGCCAATAAGAAAAGTTTATGAAATTTATAAATCATCAGTGAGTAACTTACCGTTCTGACTAACACAATATTAATACCACTTGGGCGATAATACAATAAGAATCCCAAATTACCTACGGATGTAGAACAAATGTAATATGATACCATGAATAACTCCGGTATCATAATTTCTAAATAAGAATCAAGCTAAGCAAGCTAAATTGGTGTACCAATCATGTGAATGGCAATCTGGTATTCCAAATAGCAAAATATAAGCTCCAGAAGCACTATCTGAACAATCTATGTGCTGCATGAATGCATTCAATTTGACAACTTTTTTAGGCATAAGGGTCCAGATACAACTTATATCTACAATGGAGTTTCGTGCTTTGTCTTTAGTAGTTGGCAATTAGTACAAACTAGTGGATTCCTTTTATAAATTCTCCACCTGAAGACGCTAAAATACCACTCAAATAACATAAATAAATGCTTATGTAATTTAGGGAAAAGGGATGATTAATAAGAAAACTCACTCGGATGGTTGCAAATAAGAAGGGGATCTTTGATTATAAACTGGAGGAGCGATTCCTTCTTCTTTTCTGAATTCAGCAATGAAGTTGCAGGATCTTGAGTTGATTTTTATACCAACAAAGAAAGTTCTCAGAGGTAAAACTGCTCTTTTCTTGTTTTTTAGTCTTGCGAGGAATTGCTGTGTTTTGAGCTGGGAAAGCGTGTTCAAGGGCCGAGTTTGACAACTGGATTAGATTTTTATATCTATGTAAGGACTTTCATTGATTGATTTTACGTGAACTATGGTGCACATGAAGGAACAAAAACTTTTCAAAAGCTCTGAAAATGACCTTTGACTGCCCATTCATTTTGTTTGTTTCGTATCACAGGGGTGGGAAAGGTTTACCATTTAGCTATAGCCTATAGGGGTGGGGAAGGTTTACCATTTCCGGATTGAAATCAAAGGTTCTTATCTTCATCCAATTCAGTCGCAAATAAAATGATGAAGTTTTTAGGTAGTGCTTGTTACATTATCTAACGGAGCTTTAGATGGTGTTTACACGAGTGCCCGCTTGTATGTGATTTTAGAGACATTGGCCGCTATATATATTCTATGCGTACGCTGTACTGTCAGGCTCTCCAATGGAGAGGAAGTTATCATTACTTGCGCAATGTTTGATAATCTTTTTTTTAATATTGAAAATCAATTCGTTCAGAATTTTTTTAAAGATTTACATTACCTTTTCTTTTTTAGTTTTTGAATCCTAAAAAGCTAAAGAATTCACAAACCCGAACAACCTTTGATTTTTTAAAAAGTTTTGAATAAATTAATTTTTGACATTAAGTAGAGTTATCAAATAGGCCCTAAGTTGGCTTTAGAGTCAGGCGTGACTTAGTAGTAAAACATTTCCCCTGTCCGAGTTGCAAAAATTAACCTTTGCCAAATCTTCTGGCAAGCTACTGTTATGCTAAACAAAGAAACAAACTCATAATAAATGTAAATTTATAATTGAACGTGGCCCATTGGATTGCCATAATTGAACATTTCCCTCAGCACTAACTTTTCTTGTAGTCATATCGAGCATTTCATGAATGTATTTGCAACTTGCTCATCTGTGTTGACACGTTCAACACGCGCAACGCTTCATGGAAGGACTTACGCGTTCAAGTTAACTTCACTTTGCAATGCCTTCTCTCGAACAAAGTTGACCTTAATTAGCTCTGTTATTTTTTAAGCAGTTTATGTGTTTGATCCTTGAAACTAAGTTAAAGTCTCACAAAAGTACTTCAACTTTCTCAGTTGTTAGTCCCTGAACGATTTTTAAAGTCCCATGGAAGTCTATATATCAACGTTTACTCTTAAATCTTCGTCATTCATTCGCCAACATATTCCTCTTCTTTTTCTTAAGCATTTAAATCTTCGGGTGGGAGGTTGGGAGAGTTGATAAGCATTTAAATCTTCAGGGGGGACGTTCCTTTGAGTTGCCAGGGAGTGGTTGCGAGAGTTGATGAGCATTTGAAACTTCAGGGTACGCTCCTTTGAGGTGCCAAGGGCGAGGTTGGGAGAGATGATGAGTATTTAAATCTTCAGGACAGACCAGATATCACTATCTCACCATTTATTTAAATCTTGAAGGAGACGTTCCTTTGAGTTGCCAGGGAGGGGTTGGGAGGGTTGATGAGCATTTGAAACTTCGGAGGTACGTTCCTTTGAGTTGCCACTTGCCAGATATCACTATCTCCCCAATTTTGTATATTATTCATTCACCGACATATTCCTCCTCTTTTTCTTGATAAAGAAATGATTTTGAAAAAGAATTTTGATGCAAACATATGTATAGTTCTCTGCACTCTAATTAGTTGGTACCATATGCCGGCAAATAAGCAACTTGACATGCCTAACATCTTCAATTTGACAAAAGTCTCCGTATTTAATGCTTTTGTGAAAATATTCACCACTTACTCTTTGGTCCTGCAATAATCCATCTCAATCTCCTTCTCTTGAACTAACTCACGTATGAAGTGATATTTAATGTCTATGTGTTTACTGCACCCATGGAGAATCAGACTCTTGGACAATTCAATAGCCGACTTACTGTCACAATATATGTTCGTAGGATCAACTTGCTTGTGTTGTAGTACACCAAGCATACGATGCAACCACAAAACTTGAGTTGCACTATTAGCTGCTGCACTATACTTTGCTTCTGTAGTACACAATGCAATCACCTGCTGCTTTTTAGAATTCTAAGAAAACACTCCATAACCAATAAAAATGCATACTCTGAAATACTCTTCCTTTTTACAGTATCACCTACCCAATCACTATTTATGTAACTAAACAATTCAACGAGTTTGATTGATAACAAATTCTTGATGTAAAAGTATATCTATATAAGTCAACATGTATCTATCTACACATGTATATCTATATATCTTTGTGCCAAGTATAACCACAGTATAGGGCTAACTTTGAGTGTTACCTAGCACTAGTCCGATCTTAGTGAGAGTGCTACTAAATGCATACAAAGGCTAATGATGAGAACTCGATAAAGCACGAAAAATTAAGTACACAACATTTTAAGCAAACTGCAAAGAAACAGTTAAAAGAATGAAGCTTTAGCATTCATTTGGCCAAAAATCCTTGGCATACTATTGTATATAATAGAAGTTAGATACCATTAGATTGAAATGCTAACAAAATTAGTGTACTGAAAACATATAGTTCTGCAGGATCTAATTGTTACTCCTGTGACTTGAAGAAGAAAATAGAGAAAAGGCTCGGTTGATTTTCAAACAAAGCAAACCCAGAAGAACACATTATCTGGCAAATAGTTATAAACATGAATTGTTTGTTGCTTATGGATCCGGAAATCTTATCTAATTAGCCACTGCATCCACATTGGGTAGGATGCTAAGTACAGCATAAAGACTCGAAGGAAAAAAAGAAGAAGCAGTACAATAAGTAAATCTGTCATGCTTGCTGGTACCAAAATTAAGTACATATGTAAATTTAAATAGTTCTTCGTTGTCAATGTGAAGGCTTTATCTAAGAAATGTTGTCTCCAACGTTCCGACCTTTCTCAACTTTGTCATTTCATATGCTAAGGAATGAAGGCCTGAGACATGTCTACTTTTTTAAAGAATTAGAGGGTTTAAACATTGGTTGTTTTCTCTTCTCTTCTCTTTATTGGGCTCAGTCGCTCACTATTTTCCCTCTATGAAGGAAAAATTGCTAGCCATCTAAAGTTTAGTGGAAAAGAACAGCTATGAACTCATATCTCAAAATTCTGGAAAAATAAAATGTTTAAGAATTTGTATCCTATCCGAATGAACATCTTGAATTACAGATTATCTTCTGCTGAGTAGACTAATAAATTCAAAGTCATGCACTTTTTATTACATGAAAAATATTCATCCAATAAGCAATTGAATCAACTTACAAGAAAGCCAACCGAACTCCATTGATGATAAACTATACTGATAGATGACCAGTGAGCTTTAGCAACCATTTTACTCATGTTCATGATTTAGCTTTATAAAAATCTAAATCTCAAGCCATCCACCACCAGCAAAGCATAATCAATTATCCCTTTAATCATCACCGTAGTTGCTTAAACTTCTATATGCAGTACATGTCTAGATAATTGAATATTATTTTCAGAAGACAGAAAAAAGTAAAAAATAAAAATGGGGAGATACAAGTTAACCATTCAAGAGTGTAGCTCTGGTTATGAAGGACATAATAACCTAGAGAAGATAATTAATTTGGGATTTGAGGGGAAATTAAGGATAGCTAGAAGAGGAGGAAAGGAAGGTGACGACCAAATGGTTGAGATAGAGAGATGGAGGAAAAGTCCTCATTTTATGTTGATTCCTATAAGGAATAGGAACAGTTTTCCTTGATGTCATCAAACATAATAGCTTGAATTTTTATATGCCTTTTGAATTTTTCTTGAAAATAATGTGCAAAATATAGATTCAAAAGTAAATGTGAAAGTTTATGATTTTTTACCTGCCTGTCAAGGAAAATTAACTTCTGAAGATTTCCAGATTTTTGTTTACCGATATACGCCTCGATGCCAAATTTCAGTAATAGCAAGACTCTACGCATCCACATTTTCTCATCAGGCTTTAATGAGCTTATCAACTGATTCTGTGATGTTTCCATAGGAGCCGAAAATAGATGAAATGGGAAAAAACTGCAACTGTTTGATTAGTAAAAAAAATTAAAAAAGATTCAAAGTAAAGGCCCAGAGTATAAATATAATATCTAAAATAGATGAATATCAGAGGATATATAGAATGCTTCACCAAAATATCAATTTTAGAAAAGTACGCATAAACTCCTCTTAGATAGCTCAGTTGTAACTAGTGGTTTATAGTTACAACAAGATCTCAGGGTCGACTCCCATGTGCTATTGTTGTTAGTCATTTATGGGGTGAGCTCTGTTCAGCCTGGGGGATTAGAATCGGTGATTCCAAGATACCCCTTACCCTCCAGACCCAAAAAAAAAAAAAAGAAAAGAAAAGAAAAGAAAAGTATGCATAAGATTGGTACCTGCAATCACTTTTTTTTACTGTCCTTCTTCTTTTTCGTGTCCAAGAGAGTAGAAATTATAGGTTGTAGAGAAGTTAACATTAGATTGTTTGTCATTTATATGGATGAAGTGTATAAAGTGGGTAAAAAGTGTCTGTCTATTTGATGGATTTCGAACGTTCTCTTTCATGTCACTTGAATTAGTTAATTTTTCGGTGTTATCATTAATTAATTGTTCTCCGTTATGTGCTTTTATGACTTAATTTTCCGTTTCAGTGAGTTTCATCAGTTTTTCTTTTTTGCTATTAATGGTGGTGCAAATGAACAATAATGCTATTTCAGTTAAAAGAAAAAACTATCTTTTAATGGTTTTAATGTCAATCCTAGGTTGTTCATGTGTTTAAATCTAGGGGTAACCGCGCGTTGTGCTGGGGTGCTTATTCTTTTCAGCTGTCCTTGAATTTTTTTAATCATAATTTCTTTTAAACAATACAGTAAAATTGAGAAAGAAAAAGGGTTAAAAAAAGTGTAAAAAAATGTAGCTAAAAGACCCATGTTTAAGGATATTAGCCAAGAGAAAGGTATAACTTGAAGTACATTTGTCAAAAAAAATATTTTTGGAGAAAAAAAAATTAAATGGATCCTGTCAAATCATACATAACACTCTAAATGATTTTTAGGGAGCTAAAGGAGGATGTCTTGGTCTATTTCTTGAATTAACATAGTATGAACTTTCATCAAATATCGTAAAATAATTTGAATTCCTTATTTATCAAAATTAGCATGAATAAATGCTGTAACAAAGTTAGTTCTAACGTGTCATAACACAAAAGTTCCAACTTTTCCCGATTTGAAA